TTCGTGTTTTTTAATTATGTGTACTGTTGTTTTTTGTTCCCTTTCCCCTTTGAGTTGTTCGCCGCCCTGAGTCCCTCCTGGAGAAGGGCGGCATACAAATAAACCAAACTACTTCCCAACTACTACTACTTTAATGTCTAACAGAAGATAGCCATGGGAATTATGCTTATTCAGCTCTCAAGGCAGTTGATAAAGGAAACATCTTCACACTTGCGTATTGGCTGAAATCTGCATTCTAACTAATGGGAGGGGTCTCTACTGCTTTAATTCTACTTGCATTGCCTAAGGGGATTCAGATGTTGCTTTGAATGCAATGGCTGCCATTCTACTTAATAAAAGATTCCTTTTGAAATACTCTGTTTCAAGAGTCTTCACTTTTACCAATGCTTCATCTGTCTACATAGATCATCCAACAATCAACTAACTGTTGAAATTGATCACATATTGTTTAGTATGGTTTTTGATTAATACATCAGAATTACATTTCTATCTCACACAACAGAATCCATAAAGTACAATTGCTAGTCCTCACTTATTTATAAAATTATGGCCAGTTCTTATGCATTGGGTTCAGATCAACTATCAACAGGTTCAAATAATAGCAATAAGAATGACTAAAACCAATGCAAAGAAATTGTGGAAACTGTTCAGTTTTGAAATGACTGTGGAGGATATGACAGCATTTTTCTGATGTAGCATCCAGATTTTGACACATTCTCTATCATCCCTGTGACTGAGACTACGGAATAAGATATAAAAACTGAAATTTGCTTTGAACAATAGGAAAAAGAACTAATAATAAAACAATTCTACAAATGGAACCAATTAACTAAGAAAAAAATGACATGTGTCCTTTTATTGGATGTGTTCAAATATAGACCATACAAACTACGCACACATTGAAATCATTACTTTGTATTCCTGACTGGAATAAGCAAAATACTTTCCTAGTCCATGATTCTTACACACCAGATAATATTTGTTGAGTGTACCATGACTTTCCGGTACATGGGACAAAGCTAATTAGAGATGTGATTATCATAACAATCAACTTTAAGAAAATGTTCTTTTGTAATGATTTTTGTGCTGTATTAAGATTTTTAGAATAACTATCCATGAAATAGCAGGCAACTAACTTACCTGAAGGAAATGATAAAACAGGATGGAATGATGTGTCTAGTTCCAACATGAGTTGTTTGCCTATACTAGAATTGGTGCTAAACTCGTAAGTACTCCTTTTGCTGCCTGCAATCTCTTCTGTATTACACAAGGTACTGCCCTGATGCAAAGCCTATAAAATAGCAGAGAGATTTGAACAAATAGAATGATTTGATCAATCCTAAAACAAACTGACCTAAAACTGAAATCAAATCCAAACAAAATAAATCACTTCTTTTAATGACACAGTTCTACTAGATTTTGATGGGCTATATTTCTCTTAAAACAGCCAGACTTGAGCAAGATGTCCGGGCACAATCTGGGGGTGGCAGGTGGGGCACAGGATGGGGCGGTGGGCGTGCATTTTACCCGAGTCTGGCAGCTCCACCGCTTCTCTCTCTTGGCCGCTCTGGGCAGGGAGAAACATCTTGCACGATAAGGAAATGTTTCTCATGAGTAAAGAAGCTTTTATTTACCGCGCAAGGTTTTCCCTGCTAAGACTGGCCGAGATATGCAACGGAGCTGCCAGGCTCTCCCCTCCCCTCCCTCCAGTTGGGGCGGGCTCCGGAAAGCCTCCGGGAGGGAGTATAGAGATGGCTGGCAGAGCACGAGTGGTCAGACAACAGAAAGCGGGAATGCCGGCAAGTGTGGCGGGTGGGCAGGAAGCAGAGGCAGCTCCAGAGGGTGGGCTGGGGAACAGGTGGGATCCCCTTTTCCTCACACCCCCTCCGGCCCAATTCCTGAGATCAGCCCTGGCCAGGAGACGCATAACATTTCACTTCTCATCTAAGAAGCTTCTTCGGTTCTGATTGAATGGTGGGGAAATCCTTCTACTCCCCATCATTTAGTCAGAACTGAAGAAACTTCTTGGATGAGAAGTGAAATGTTTTCAAGAAAAAAACAACGTCCAGTTGCCCTTTGAAAAGCACCTTTGGGTTTGGTTGAATCCCCTAGTATAAATGTACATGTATTTGAGATATTGCAGAAACTGAAGATATAATATATATTGTATATTATTTGAATGTTAGTTGTCTCCATGGGATCTATATCTCAGAACATATTTTAAAAGTTCAGACAGAATACAAATATTACAAATAAAATGGTTCCCTTTTTGAATAAAACAGTGCAATTGTTATATATTGCCACGTGTGACAATATATAAAGTGATAAGAACATATGAATCAAGTTTTTCTTTTTGTTTTGTTATCAAGTCTTATTCAATTTTTCTGTACAGGT